TATTTTATTTGTTTTAATTAAAAATATTATTTTTTCTTTTTTTTTTCCTAGCTTTCGATCAGTTCCGTACGATCAGTTCGTCATGGCAAAGGTAAGTGACTTGACTGGATTTTTTTTATTCGTTTTTTTTTCCTACATTATTTTCTACATTAATTTAATTAACAATATTTTTTTTCTATTCTTTAGGAGCGATTTTTTTTAGATTCAGATCAGGCGGTTCATCACGACAGTTCAGGTGGGTGACAATTCGATCATTTTTTTTTGTTATTATTGTCTTTTCTTTGTTTTTGTTTTTTTTTTTTTTTATTTTTTAATCTTTTGTATAATTTATTAATATTTTTTTTATTTTTTATATTGTTTTATTAATATTTTTTTAGTTTTTGTGTGATCAGTCGGTCCATCACGGCTAAGGGTAAGCAGTTCTTTTTTGCATTGTATCAGATTACTAATCTATTTTTTATTTTATTTTTTTATTTAGACGATTTTAGGTTTAGATTCAGATTTCAAATGGATTGTTTGGGCAAGGTAAGTTGTGAATTTGTATTTTTTTAACATTGTTTTGGATTACTAATTGTTTTTTCTTTATAATTTAATCAATCATGTCGATCATTTTTCGTATCCATACAAATAATTCTTGAAAGGCAGGATTAATATCCCAAGGATTTCCATACAAAGCACATTTTTTGACGCAAATAAGTCTTAATGAAACTAATTCATTCTGAAAAAAGAAAATAACTTACTTGTTCGCAATATTTGTACATAATTTCATTAACTGGTATAAAATTTCTTTTCTTTCTCGAATTTTTAAATAATTTGGTATATATCGCGCTTTTTGTGAGATATTTAAAGCGATAAAATTCAAAACAGCCTTTTACTTTGCTAAAATTTTTCAATAATTTGCTAAGTACTTACTGTTTCAATAAAAATTATAAAAATTATCTTTCCTAGCGTTATAACCCTTTTTCCTTATTAGTATTTATAATAATTATGTTAACAATACGATAACAGAAATAAAATTCTTTGAAAGATAAATACTTGTCTAATAAAAATTCAAGTCAGTTATAAATATCATGATCTCCTTGGAGAATTTACAACTTTGAATAATATCATAAAAAAGACCTAAATCTTTAGTTTCAGAATTTATAAGTTATATAAGAAGTTTAAACAAATTTTTTGGGAGTAAAAAAAATAATAAATTTTTTTATTACAAATTAGAAGTTGAAATGTTCACTTTAATTATATTCAATTTTTTACCCAGGTAAAGTTTTCCTACTTAAATAATTTCAAGTGAACAACTAGAAAAATATAATCCATTTGTTATATGGGAGCTAAGTTATTAAAATCAGGTGAACTTTATTTGGTTAAATTTTATAGTTGATTATCTGATTAAAAATTAACAAAGCAAGCAATTAGGCCAACAAAGTTTCTCAATTCTTTGTATACTAAATTAATAATTGAAATATTATTTGAAAAATTAAAAAAAGTTTCGGACGCTTTCAAAATTCATATTTTTTAATTTTAAAATAAATTGAATTAAAATATTTAATATTAATTGTTTATATAAGTGTTTGAGATATTTATACCTCAGAAAAAATTTTTTACTGAAAATACTTATTATTTAAAAAAAATAAAAATATAATTTTTTAATTTTTTTAATAAAATTATTTTTCTAATAAAATCAGTGTAGTTCGAATATGCTTTAAACCCGACCAGACTCAACCATTACGGAAAACTAATAAATGCAAATTTTAATAAGTCTTAATCATTTGAGCACAAACGACTAATGAGTCGAAATATAAAAGATGATCAATTTTTAATACTTTGTCTTTCGATTAGTAAATAAATACAAATTAATATCAAATAATTTACTAGTTTTCTAAACTAAAAAATAATAAATAAATCATAAAAAAAGCATATAAGCGCAGCATCAGTAGATAACGTAGTACCAACTGAGGACACTGCGCTGCCTATAACATCGTTAAACGGTTTTACAATACCACTTAATGCCCGTTTAAGTTGCTGGCGCCAAAGATTCGCTGTTGATACAAATGAAGATTTAGCACTGATTGAACACCCATTTCCAGCTCAATTCGGTCACGCGTTACAATTTCTAAATCAAATATTTTGTATGAGTGATATTATCGTTCAATCATTTTAATTAAATCTCATTTTAATTATTTTAACACTTTTGAAAATCTTGAATTAACATAATAATATAAGCTGTGGAAAATTCTGGAGTAAACTCAGTCAGTTTTCGACTCAAATGTCGACTGATTCGCGACTATCATTTGAGATTAACAAAAAAATTTAAAAAAATATATATATTTATGCGCTTATTACAGTATTTAAACATACATTGAAAAAAGAATAAAATCGTATTATTATACCTTTATACTTGTAAATATATTTCAAATAATCAAAGATATATTAATATTGAAAATAATCAAATATAATTGTAAATCTATTATTGAATATTAGCAGAAATTGACTTGATTTATCAGATTATTTGTAATTAATGTAATTTCTGTATGATCAATAAAATTAAACATCAAAGAATATTACTTGACCTAATAAGATTTATGCAAATAATATACATATTCAAGTTAGTATAATTTAAGGTGTAATTAAAATTTGTATTTTTTTATTTTAAGAATCATATACCTTTAGCATGATTTTATGTGGATTTTAAAATATATATAATTCTAGTTATTAATATTTATTTAAAATTTTCTTTTTCTATTTACATTATAGACATAATAAATCATGTGATCCGTAACTAAGACAAATAATATTTTTGCGATTATTTAACAAAGGAAAGGTAAGCATAAGGTTTAATATTAAGAAAGTTCAAGATTTGCCTCAAACATCGGCGATATATACTTCCGTTTTTTAAACCAAATCAATACAAAAAATATATTAAATGCAATTTTCCAGGTGACATTTTGACTTGGGGAATTTTTGGCTAAAGGACATATTTACAGTGTACAAGGTCAAATTAATTTGAACAAAGTGTAGGAACTTTCGCCTAGTAATTCTTGTAATTTGTTATACGATAAAGTTATTAAAATGTTTCAGTCTGAATTCGTTAAAAAATTTTTAAATAAATCGTTTAAACGAGAATTTATTGAGTGATCGTTATATGAGTTTGTGAAAAGTATTTGTATCGAAGTTTCAACATATAATATTAATTAATTATATCATTTTGACTTTCTAAATAAAAAGATTAGATAGTGTTAAAAAATAAAAAGGATCTTGATAAATGATCTAATTTATTTTATTTTTAAACGAGTTAAAGGATCTTTCATAAATTAAAATTTCGATTTCTGGGCATTCCTATTTGAAATTTTCAGTTTTGGGCAAATGTCCGATTTATTGTCCAATTTTAAAATTCGTGGCACCGCAATTCTTGAATTAAGTCACGTTATTTGTAATCGATAAATTCTGACATAAGGGAATGCGTAACGAAGAGGATCAAAATGAAAAGATAATAGTCAAATATATACTTGTGCTAAATTTTAATTTGAGTAATGAAATACGAAAATAAGGAAAATTGGATGAATATATTGAAATGCAGCGAATTTAACGTAAGCAGATATTTTGGAAATGATTTTAACGAAATTTTCGTAAATATGATTTTAAGAAAAATAATAAAAATAAAAATACAATAATAAATAATAATATAATTGGATTTATATATATCATAAATGTTCTTTGACTCGATCCTCCCTTACGATATCTAATTTTATATTGTGGTTGTCTTCGACATTAAAGGTGAACCGCAAAAATTATTGCGCATCCGCAGCACTGCGAAAATGAGAAGGTTTAGAGTTCTACGGGCCGCATTTAGTTTATCACAAACATATGGAGGAGTGAAAATTTCATTGCTTCCCGTAGTAATTACGAATTTAAAGATTCTTTCAGATGAATTTCAAGTTGTGCGACATTCCTTAATTTCCTTAATACAAATATAGCTACAAAAGTATTACAAGGCTGTAAGTGACAGGAATTTTATTTGTTAATTATCTTTCTATACTAGCTTCAATCTACATCCATTTAAGGCAAAAAATAATGGATGTCGATCTGGATATATATATATACATAATATTTTTTTTTTTTTTTTTTTTTTTTAAGAATTCGCTGTCTTTGTTTTCCCAATTTATAATTCATGGCTGGTAATTAAGGTTTTTTTGACTCATTTCAGCAACATTAGTTATTAAATTTTAAATTTAATATTTTGTAATTAGGAAAAGGTATTTCCACAGTGATTTATTAAAGTTTGATCCGACATTGACTTGCTAAAATAATTCGTAATATTAGAATCAGTTTCGAGTATTAAAGAAATTTCTAGAGGTAAATGTGATATTATCTAAATTATCTATACATAAACAAAAAAGTTCGATTCTTGCGTACCATATTAATTTGTATAATGTTATATTTAAAGGTAATTATTATATCATGTATGCGTGAAATTTAGAAACTTGTTCATACCTCAAGCTTAGAACTAAGTAGTTTTATAAATAATATACTTCAATAAAATTGGAATCTGTCGAATCTTCTACATCCAAAGGTAAAGACAAATATGATATGCTTAAAATTTAACATTTATAAAAATATCCTATAATATTACTAAATAAATAGTAATTCAACTTTTATTAATTGTTTCTTGTTGTATTTATATTATCAATTTATAATTTATAATTCTAATTGAATTTTATATTTATCAATCGATAATTTTATAAAATCTAATAAATTTATTATATTGTAATTTTAAATTCTTGATGATTAGAACGTAAGCTATTTGATTACTAGTTTGTCGTTTCTTTATAAACTTTAATATATTTAATATAACCAAACAATATTCAATGTTTAATACAGACCGTAAGTTGATTATACGTTATTGTTTATTTATGCATAATTTACAACTTTCTAAATTTATAAATTTATAATCATTAACGTTATTCAATGTTTGATAATATAGTTGGTAAGTTATTTAATAACTTATTATTGTTATTTATGCATTAATTTTTAAAATATACTAATTTTAATATATAAAATTATTCAACGTTTGATGATATAGTCAGTAAGTTATTTAATTACTAATTTATCGTTTATTTAAGAAATATACTAATTTACTAGTACTATTTAAAATTATTCAATGTTTGACGATATAGAACGTAAGTTATTTTATCGTTTATTTAAGTATCATTTATAAAAATATACTAAATTTACTATTGAAAATTATTTAATATTTGACGATATAGTCGGTAAGTTATTTGATTACTAAATATCATTTATTTAAGTATCATTTATAAAAATATACTAAATTTACTATTTAAAATTATTCAATGTTTGATGATATAGAACGTAAGTTATTTGATTACTAATTATAATTTATTTAAGTATCATTTATATAATATACTAAATTTACTATTTAAAATTATTCAATGTTTGACGATATAGTCAGTAAGTTATTTGATTACTAATTATCATTTTATTTAAGTATCATTTATATAATATACTAAATTTACAATTTAAAATTATTCAATGTTTGACGATATAGAACGTAAGTTATTTTATCGTTCATTTAAGTATCATTTATAAAAATATACTAAATTTACTATTTGAAAATTATTCAATGTTTGATGATATAGTCAGTAAGTTATTTGATTACTAATTATCATTTATTTAAGTATTATTATAAAATATACTAAACTTACTATTGAAAATTATTCAATGTTTGACGATATAGAAGGTAAGTTATTTGATTACTAATTTATCATTTATTTAAGAAATATACTAATTTACTATTTAAAATTATTCAATGTTTGACGATATAGACGGTAAGTTATTTGGTTACTAATTTATTATTTATTTAAGAAATATACTAATTTACTATTTAAAATTATTCAATGTTTGACGATATAGTTGGTAAGTTTTTTGATTACTAATTATCATTTATTTAAGAAATATATTATTGTGTATTTTAATTATTAGATAATTAAATAAGGCAAATCTTTTTTTGTAAAAAAATTATAATTAAATATTTTAGATGGTAAATACTTATAATTTATTATATATGATAGAGTTAAAAATAGAATCAGAGCTGCGTTATGAAATTATAATTATTGCAAAAAATATAAGAATTATTTATTAATTTAATAATCGATAATAAATAGAGTTTTTTATAAAAGATCATTTGAGCCAAAAAAATTCAGATTGGCTTATTTCCATTAGCTCGAATGGAGAATATATCATTATATTTAATCATGGTAATTTAAATTTATTATTATTTACATTATTGTATCTAAATTAATTCTTCATATTTGTATTATAGGAACTATGGAGTTTAAAATTATTAAATATAGTCAATATGAAAAAATTTATAAGGCAAACTCATGTAAATTTGACGATCGTCACTTTGAAGAATATAAATCTCAATCTACAAAAAGTACATTTATGTTAGCAATATCAAATAATTTTGAAGATAAAGAAGATAATTTCATTTTTGTTGCAATATCATGTGTAATAGAAAAAGATGAATCCGTTATTGATATTGATGATCAAACTACTGTTGATAATGGTAAAAGAGAACAACCTTTGAATGGGAAAACGATTATCTATAAAGTAGTTTTAGATTCATCTAAGCAAGAAAAAATTAAACTATATAAAGAAAAAGAAATCGGTGGAATTGTTTCTTTTATTCATAAGGAAAACAATTCTAGTAAAACAGATTGCTTTATCTTTAATGCAAACGGAATCTATAGACTCTCACTTTTTGGATCCAATAATATTTGTTCAAAGAGTTTTAAGCATTTCAATTATCCAAAAAGCCTTATAATTGAATTAAATACTTTATTTAAGAGCAAATCTTATATTTTTCGAATTAAAAATTGTATTTTTGATCATTATTTTTATATCGAACAATATAGAGAAGGTATTCAAGTTATGCAATTATATGATTTAAGAACCATGCAAATACAACAGATTTTTAATATATACGAAGAAAAAAATTATTCAAATAAATATAGCAAATCCATATTAGCTATTTCAGAAAATGAGCAAATGATTGCTTTTTCTTCTGGATATGGAAAATTGGCTCTTTATTTAATAGAAAATGGACTAGAAATTATTCATAAAGATTTTGGAACAGATACAAAAATAATTGCTTCTGATTTTAAAGATGATAATAAATTAATGATAATCATTAAAAAAGCTAAACACGAGGGGATAAATATTTTACTTTGGAATTTATATACAAATGAATATCAATATGATATTCCATTAAACGAAGTTGATATTAGTATTTTTAATAGTGCAAAAATTCCTGGTAAATACGTATCTGTCAATAAAAATGGAAGAATATTATCGATATATGATAGTTTAAATTCAATAATTAGCAGGAAAGATGCAAATATTCTTATACCAAAATTTAAAATATACAAAGATGGTAAAGTACCAACTGAAATGAACGTATTAAAATTTGATAATAATATTATTTATCATCAAAATCTTTCAAAAAAAGAAGCACAAATTCTTAAAAATAATATAGAACTATGGACAACAGATAATTATGAAAAGACATGGGTATATCTTGACCAAAAAGAATCGATGCAGTTATATATTGGAAAATATACTATTCAAATATGATGCAAAATTGGGCAAAAAGAAAAATTCGTTCTTAAATATTTTTGGGCTACTGAAAATTATATATTACGAATACTAGAATTAGATGTTTATGAAAATGGTTTTTCTATCAAGTTAGAAAATAACATTCAGATTAAATGGTTCTATAATGATGATGACGATATTGATTTAATTAGGCATGCTTGCGATTCCCTTGAATATCTATATTATCAAAGATATAAATTAATTGGATATGAGAATCAGCATGGTAATTATCAATTCTTATTATTTATTTTTTTTATATGTTTTTTATAATAAATTTTTTATATTAATATTTTATATTAAAATAGTGTTTGAGGAAATTAAATATAATATTTCTCTTATAGTTTGTAAATTTATTAGAAAGTATCCGAACACTTGGAAAATGTTGGATATTCATTATAACCTTATGGCAAAAATTATAATTGGTGGCACAAATACTCTCATTAAATTTATTTTATTTGGTAATGAAAAAGTAAAATTTAAATATTTACATATACCAAAAATAACTCGATGGATTAATTTGAAAAAGTCTACAAAGGAAAAAATTGATTCTGAAAAAATCATTCAAGTAAATGATAATTTGAAAAAACCTACAAAGGAAAAAATTGATTTAATTAAATTCAGTGATTTACAACTAGCTATTAATTTGTGTAAACCAGGTAATTCCATTATTTAAAAATTTATAAATTAAGTATTTAATATTAATAAATCATTTTTTTTTATAGATATTGAACGTAACCGTAGAATTTTAATTGTAGCTTATTTACTTGAATATTATACAAAAAATGCAACTGAAAATCACGGATGGTTAATTACTATTTCAAAAGCATTACCAGATTTATATACATTTAAATTAGGTTTATATTATTTTTTATTATCATTTTTTTTTTAACGATCGTTTTTAACTTTTTTATTTTATTTTAAATAGAGTATTTTGTGGGCGAATTATTTTGCAAAACATGCATGGAAGGTATAGAAATATCAAATATTATTGAATATATGGATTATATGCCTAAAAACTTTCATATTATTTCAAAAAAGTTTACGGCATTCAAACCAAATTCGGATTTTAAATCGACAAGTGTGCCAAAATTAAATTTTAAAGCTTTAGGAAATTATTTGAAGTTAAAAATAACAAAACTTTACGTTAAAATTTTTCCCAACGATCACGAAAACTATTTTCCAGTTGTAAAAATAGTTCCTTTACATAATTTTACTGTTAATAGTATATCTCAAAAAACTTACGACCATGAATGTTCATTTATTATCAAAATATTGAATAATTTTAAATAGAAAATTTAGTATATTTATTAAATAAATGATAATTAGTAATCAAATAACTTACGTTCTATATCGTTAAACATTGAATAATTATAAATAGTAAATTAGTATATTTCTTAAATAAATGATAAATTAGTAATCAAATAACTTACTGGCTATATCATCAAACATTGAATAATTTTCAATAGTAAATTTAGTATATTTTATAATGATACTTAATAAACGATAATTAGTAATCAAATAACTTACCGACTATATCGTCAAACATTGAATAATTTTCAATAGTAAATTTAGTATATTTTTATAAATGATACTTAAATAAACGATAAAATAACTT